CATCAGAATTCACGTTTTCTCTCTGTGGTCGTGTGCCTTTGGAACCTCATTCCTGCTTGACCATAAGGTCCAAACATAACGACTAGCAAATTTTGAAACATTTAGCATAGACAGCTCCTAACTAGGAGTGAAGTTCAGGGGGCACGCCACAGCGGGATCCCACACTGACTCGGGTTCACATTGTCCACACCACCAGCATCTGGGCATTTAAAACCTGACTGCCCTTGACTAACGAGTGATGTTCAGCATCTCTTCATGCGACTGTTGGCCTTCTGGATGTCTTCTTTGGAGAAATGTTTGTTCATGTCTTTTGCCCATTTTTTAATTGGATTGTTCAGTGGTGTGTTTTTTTGTTTTTTTGTTTTTTTTGTTTTTTTATGTTGACTTGTGTAAGTTCTTTATAATTGGTGGTTACCTGAGCGGAGGTAGGTGAGAGGATGGGTGAAGTAGGTGGTGTAGATTAAGAATACATTGGGGCGCCTGGGTGGCGCAGTCGGTTAAGCGTCCGACTTCAGCCAGGTCACGATCTCGCGGTCCGGGAGTTCGAGCCCCGCGTCGGGCTCTGGGCTGATGGCTCGGAGCCTGGAGCCTGTTTCCGATTCTGTCTCCCTCTCTCTCTGACTTTCCCCCGTTCATGCTCTGTCTCTCTCTGTCTCAAAAATAAATAAACGTTAAAACATTAAAAAAAAAAAAAAGAATACATTTATAGTGATGAGTACTGAGTAATGTATAGACCTGTTGAATTGCTATACTGTACACGTGAAAGGAGCACAGCACTGTGTGTAAACTATACCAGGACTGAAAACAAAACAAAACAAAACAAGTGTGCCCGGGTGAGCATCCGACCTCAGGTCAAGTCAAGATCTCACGGTTCGTTGAGGTTGAGCCCTACGTCAGGCTCACTGCTATCAGATCAGAGCCTACTTCAGTCCTCTGTCCTCTCTCTGCCTCTCCCCCACCCATGCTTGCTCATGCTCTCTCTCTCTCGCTCTCTCTCTCAAAAAAATAAACATTTTTTTAAATTTTTGTTTATTTTTTGAGAGAGACAGAACACGAGAGGGCGAGGGACAGAGAGAGAGGGAGACACAGAGTCTGAAGCAGGCTCCAGGCTCTGAGCTGTCTGCACAGACCCCAACACAGGGCTTGAACTGACAGACCACAAGATTACGACCGGTGCTGAAGCGAGATGCTTAACTGAGTCACCCAGGCGCCCCAAAAAAACACACACTAAAAAAACAAAAAAAAAAACTTGCAGGTCTCTAAGGAGAACATACACACTGCCCTTTTCTACCACTTTCTGCTGGCTTCTAGCCCCACCTCACAATTTTACTTGCTTTCCAGGCTCTTGACAGTACTTGAGTATGTGACCCCTGCTCTCCACTTTCAGCAAACCTCATCTTTGACACAATTTCTTCTGATAAGAAAAGAATTCGCATCTTACATAAGAGTTCAGTCAATACTGCTTCAACTACTTCAGAGTTGCTTCCCTAAGACTGATAGCTGCTGCCTGAATGAAGTAATTGTATCACCAAGACGCTTGAGGTCATTTTCTGCTTTCAAAGTATCATGTCCATGGCCTTCAGATTCAGTTTGCATCTTTGTATTCCTACTACCTACGAGATAAAGCTTGAACTAGCCACTGGCGTTCGGGGTCCTTCATCACTCAGCCTCCACGTAAGTGTTCGAAACTATTACCTTCCTCACCAGTCTCCACTCACACACACACCTGGTCAGAGTCTAATTATTTGCTCATGAACTCCCCTCCCTTCCCCTTCTGCCTTTCCAATCTCTCCTCATCCTTCAGAGTTTAACTCACACTCCACCTGTCCCTGTAGGCTTTTCTAAATCTTCCCAGATTCAAAAATCTTGCCTCCTCTTTTTTTTTTTTTTAATTTTTTTTTCAACGTTTATTTATTTTTGGGACAGAGAGAGACAGAGCATGAACAGGGGAGGGGCAGAGAGAGGGAGACATAGAATTGGAAACAGGCTCCAGGCTCTGAGCCATCAGCCCAGAGCCTGACGCGGGGCTCGAACTCACGGACCTCTTGCCTCCTCTTAAATGTAAATAAATAATCTCTCCTCCTTTTATATGCTTAATAAACATTTGTTGAATGAACAAATGAATTGCAGCAGGGCCGCATTCTTATGGCCACTTAATTATGGCCAAGTTGCTTAACTGTTTTTAAGATAAAGTTTCATCGTCTGTAAAAATGTGGTTTGGGCAAGGATTGACTGAGATGTTATTTTAAAATTACCTAGCAGAGATGCTACATAGACTCAAAAGATATTAGGTAGTCCACAGATGGGAGAAGTAATAGTCTGATTTACTGCCTTCCTTCCTCCTGTACTGTTAATTAACTTTTCGGTTATGTACAGTGTCTCTTCCTAGCTTCATGATTGGAGAAGGACCCATGTTTAAAAAAAAATTTTGTATCATGCACTGTGGCTAGCAGGGAATTTTGCTAATAAAACTTTGTTGAGGAGTCAATAGCTTCTCTACTGAAAAATATATCCAAAGACTGCCTGCTGACACTGGAATTTCCTCCTTTAGAGACATCCTCTCCTAAGTTAAGCAGTGCCCCAGCTAAAATCCAACCGTGCCTGGGAGATGGTAACAAAGTCTGTTGCATTAGTTATTAATACATGTGCCGTTTAGACTTTTTTGTTTACAAGGAGCAGAAACTAGCTCACAGGTTGTTGCTCTTATATGAAGTATGATATTGGTGTATTTAACCCAACACCTTAGTAAAACTTAGTTTATCTAATGTCTTTCCAACATTAGCATAGAGATAAGGGGGAAAGGAGAAATACAGATATCGCACTATCAAAGAGGACAAAGAAAAGCTGGGCGAAGCGCACCATCAGAATCGCAGCCAGAAGGCGCGAGGAACCAGGGTGAGCAGGGAAGCCTGGGTGGCTCAGTCAGGTGAGTGTTTGACTTGACTCAGGTCATGATCTTGTCTGGCGGTCCGGGAGTTCAAGCCCTGCATTGGGCTCCACACTGAAAGTACAGAGCCTACTTGGGATTCTCATTCTCTCCCTCTCTCTCTGCCCCTTCACCACTTGCACACTCTCTCTCTTTCTCTCTCAAAATAATAAATAAATAAAATTTTTTAAAAGGGGGGGGGCGCCTGGGTGGCTCAGTCGCCTAAGCATTCGACTTTGGCTCAGGTCATGATCTCTCACCGTCCATGAGTTCGAGCCCTGCGTCTGGCTCTGTGCTGACAGCTCAGAGCCTGGAGCCTGCTTCAGATTCTGTGTCCCCCTTCTCTCTCTGCTCCTCTCCCACTCATGCTCTGTCTCAGTCTCTCAAAAATAAACAAATGTTAAAAAAAAATTAAAAAAAGAAAGAAAGAACCAGCATGACCAGCTGTAACGGTTTGCCCCACACTGAGCGGACACAGAAAGGCCTTCAGGGCTAAAACCAGAAACTCCTGGACAAACTGGGATAAGTTGGTCACCCTATTAGGGACCACTAAAATCCCAGCAAAAGACATACTTCCTTTAATTTCAAAAGTGTACTTAGAGTCAGTGCTGCACACAGAGCAGCACAAACCTGTCCCTGGCTGGTGACCAGCTGGTTCGAGAAAAGGGCTAACGAGGCCAAGGCTAAAGATTTGATCTCCCAGGGAAACTTTGCTCTCTTCAACAGTCTGTGACTACTCAAACCACCATTCGCCAATGCCAGTACGTGTGGCCACTCTGGACCAAATCCTTCACTGCTGCTAGGAACACGGGTGGTGGGACACAGATGTTTTCCTGTATTCACTCACAGACTGAGTGAATAACTTCACATAAAGAAACTCACCTGCTGAACTTCCTGCTTAAATGGGTTCTAAATAACAATAACACATAGCAGTATGGCAAATTTCCACAGCATTTTCTCCTAGATTTCATTCCCTTTTTTTTTTTTTAATGTTTTATTTATTTTTTGAGAGAGGGAATGTGAGCGGGGGTGGAGGGGCGGGGAGGGGGAGACGGAGGATCCCAAGCAGGCTCTGTGCTGTCAGCTCAGAGCCCGATGCAGGGCTCAAACTCACAAGATCGCGACCTGGGCTGAAGTTGGACGCTCAACTGACTGAGCCATCCCAGGTACCCGAGTACTGTGAGACAGGCATAGGGGACACCACGCTCAGCAGGCTGGGGATAACCGGAGGTTACACAGCCAGAAAGCAACACAGATGGAACTGGAACCCTCACCTCCTACGGATTATTTGTTTGTCTTTCTGGTGGTGGGGGGGGTGGCAGTGAAAGAGGTCACGGCTGCCCGTAACCCAGCAAAATACACAGCCTGAATCCTGAGCTTCTCTTTGTACGTTTCCCCTTCCATAAGAATTCCAGAACTCTTGGAGCGTCTGGGTGGCTCAGTCGGTTGGGCGTCCCGACTTGGGCTCAGTTCATGATCTTGCGGTCTGTGGGTTCGAGCCCACATCGGGCTCTGTGCTGACAGCTCAGAGCCTGGAGCCTGCTTCAGACTCTGTGTCTCCCTCTCTCTCTCTGCCCCTCCCCTGCTCATGCTCTCTCTGTCAAAAATAAATAAACATTAGAAAAAAAAGGAATTCCAGAACCCTTCAGGTCCCAAGGACCATGAAGCACAGCCCCCGAGCTCTTGCGAGTCTTGCCAAACTTGCCCACAGTGTGGGCTGTGGCGTGCTGGTGGGCTGGTTATCTCCTGCACGCGTGAAGGCATAAAGCACGTCCACATTCTCCACCCCAGGGGTCAGGCCCAGGAGATACTGCTTTTTATGTGTTCACTTTCCCGGACACTTTGCTGCCTAAACCCACAGAGTTGTGTGGTGTTCATATTAGTAAACCGAAAGCTGAATTTCCCAAACACGTTTATTTTTTCCTTCAGAGCAAATGTGGGCAGGATGAAAACCACTCTGTGTCATACTTCCACGTTACTCATTAACCAACTTCAAAAAAAAAAAAAAATAGCCTCAGCCAGATTAGGCGTCACGTGAAGAGTTTCCTGCACTGGGGAAACAGAGCAAAGCCAAACGCAGGGATTTTCACATCATCGGAGGTGGGGGATTCAGAAATGAGCCTTTGAGCTTATTTCCTGACCTGCCGATCGGCACGGGCGCAATGGTGAAGAAAAGGCTGTCTTCCAGTGACACGGTGTTCCGGTTTGACATTCCGGGCAGCCCAAGAAAGGCAGGCACCGAGGCCCCACACAGCGCCGCAGACTGCCCCAGCTCTGTGCTTCTCAGGTGGGTACATCTCGCGTGTCACCTTGGTGGCCTCAGCCACCTGACACGTGTTCTGAGGAGAGCTCCTTCCTCATCCTCTGCCAAGGGGAAGGACAAGGCACAAGCCGAGGCATCTGGGCCAGTGGATTGGAAGGGGGTACACAGCAAAGAATGTGACTTGCTGAGCAAATAGAGCTATGACCATGATTAAGGGAAAATAATCGTTAGTGCCTTCTTTAGGACTTTTTTAGTACTAGACGACTAGCCAGCTCTGCCATTCTTTAATTCCCGATCACTTTCAGGTTCATAGGAACTGAAGCCCAAATAGTTGAGCCCAAAACCTTACTTTGGTGTCAGAATTACTGTGTCAATATCAAAAAAGTAAATGCAGGGGCTTTCTAAATTAATTATCAAAACAGTAGTAGCTGTGCTGTGTGGTTCAACTACTTACCATATAGTGATTTATAGCTGCTTTGGCCTGATTCAGAACATGCTCTTTTTAGCTATAAATATTAATGCCTCTATTAACGTCACTCTGATAATTACATTTTTTAAAATGTTTATTTATTTTGAAAGAGAGAGCATGCGTGCGTGCATGCACAGGGGAGGGGCAGGGAGAAAGAGACAGAATCCCAAGTGGGCTCCTAATGTGAAGACACAGCCAGATGCGGGGCTGGAACTCACAAATTGCGAGATCAAACCAAGAGTCGGATGCTTAGCGGACCGAGCCACCCAGGCGCCCTTAATAATTACATATTTTTAATCAAAATTTGTGTCGCTAACTCTTTATTCATTTTGGTCTCATAATAATTCTCTAGGAACTTATACTTTATAAGTTCCTAGAGATATAATTTGACATAAGATATCAAATGCAAGTGGAAATCAATTACAAGAAAAAGTTTCTTACCCAACTTTCATGTTACTTCCATTAAACCTGTCAAGGGAAGGCAGAGAAGTTACCTCCAAACAGGAAGTTGACTTTTTACACAGCACCACAGCCAGAAAGGTGGTCGTTTGTTTTGTTTTTTAATCATTTTAAATCATTTATACAAAAAAGTGCTCAGGGCGCCTGGGTGGCTCAGTCATTAAGCATCTGACTTCAGCTCAGTTCATGATCTTACTGTTCGTGAGTTCAAGTCCCACATCTGGTAAGCCCACTTCTCTCTCTCTCTCTGTCCCTCACTCACTTGCACCCTCCCTCTCTCTCTCTAAAAAAGAAAAAGTGCTCAAAATTATAGCTTTTAAAAATTAAACAGAAACCAAGAAATCCCACTTCATTTAATGGTGTTTGGGTATCAGAATGTCGGGTTACAGAAACAAGTGAAGACATTTTTTAAAGAAGTTTTAGGGACAAAGAGCCTGAACTTACGCAAAATGTTGCATGATGCACCTATTTTAAGTTAACTTAATTTTTCCATCCATCATTAACATCCATCTATCTGACGTGAATTGTCTGAGCATGAGCACAACTCCTATGACTGAGCATGTAAAATCTTTGTATTACTTTGTATTACTTCCACATTTGAAATGTTTCTCGAATCATTTTGTCTGCTTCATCCATCTCTTGTGTAGGCTGTAATGCAGATGTTTCTAGGAGTTCAAGGTCTAATCAGGCAAAATGAAATTAAAGTACATAAATAAATTTTTTAAATGCAAAAAATACAGAAAATATAATTTAAATAATATGCATATATTATTTAAATAAGTATAAATAAATAGGATAAAAATAAAAACCTGCATCAACCTAAATTCAAGCCCCTCTCAAAAACAGCCCAGGCCTATTTTACCTGCATATCAGAATATTCAACATCAGGGACGCCTGGGTGACTCAGTCAGTTAAGCATCCAACCTTGGCTCAGGTCATGATCTCATGGTTCATGGGTCTGAGGCGCCCACGGACTCTGCACTGACAGCTCAGAGCCTGGAGCCTGCTTCGGATTCTGTGTCTCCCTCTCTCTCTGCCCCTCCCTGGCTCATGATCTGTCTCTCAAAAACAAATAAATGTTTAAAAAAAAAATTTTTTTTAAAGAATAGTCAACATCAAACGTCTATATTAGTAGCTAGAAGCATTTTTTTTTTTTTAATGTGTATCGGAACCAATCTAAAAACATCACACGTATCTCCAAACAGTTGGGCAATGAAGGACTTTCAGTCTAGGTGAAAAATCTACTTAATGCATTATATATTAAATCATTCAAAATAATTCATGGAAACACATTGGTCAATTATTTCAGGTAAAAAACAAAAACAAAAACAGGTAAACACTTCCCTTTAACTTCTAACTAAATACTAAGAATTTATGTGGCTGATGTGGGATCCCATTACCCTTTCCATGAACTAGAGCTAAAAGGTATTCTGAGATCAACATACTGCTTCAAGTAGGCACAGATACAATTTATGCAGTTTTCTTATTCAATCATTCAACAAAGATGTAGTGTGTGACTATCATACGCTAGGCTATGTGGAATGCACAGTGGATACAGACATGAGCAAGATAGACCTAGTCTCTGCCCTCATAGAGGTTATTAGTTTAATGTCAAAGAGGATAAAAAATTATGAACACATGAATGCATCCACACATGCATACATAATTCTTGTTTTAACATATGTTATCATAGGAAACCATTACAGGGCTGATAGAGAGAAGAGAATAGGGAAAACTAACTTAGATGGGGTGGGAAATAAAGGACTCTTCAAGGAAGTGATAATTCAGCCATCCAAGAGGATGAAAAAAGAGCCAACCATGGAATGACTGAGAAGGAACATGTTGCCCTGAGGTGGGGAGGATCTTATGTCTTGAGGAACCAGGGGACAGTGGCATCCGATGGAATCGGAGGGCGAAGCATTGGATGTAGGGGTTTAGAATTCTATTTTAACTGCAGTGGGAAACCAATGGGAGGTTTAGAACATGGGAGTATCACGATGTGTTGTTCCCTTTAGAAGGGCGTTCTGGCCCGTCTCTGGGTGCTTTCCAGTTTTTTGCTCTGTCAAGAAATACTGCATCCTGCCCATGCCTTGCCAGGTGCTTGTGTAAGAGTGTCTGTAAAGTATGGACCCAGCAGAGGAATTGCTGGGTCACAGATTACAGGCACGACTAACCCTGCTCATGATGTCAACCTGTGTTCCAAGCTGCTGTCATTTACGCTCTCACCCACAGCTATTCTGCTACTTCCACAACATTGGCATTGCCTGGCTTTTAAGTTTTTTCCAATATGGAAGCTGAGAAATGCCATCTCAATGAGGTTTTCATGTTCATTTCCTTGACCCTTTGGGTCAGGAGGCAGGGTTACTGCCTTTTTCTTTTTTTTCTTTTTTTTTTTTTTTAGATATTTTTTAATGTTTATTTATTTATTTTGAGAGAAAGAGAATGTGTGTGCACCCACATGCGCATGAGCGGAGAGGGGCAGAGAAGGAGACAGAATCCCAAGCAGGCTCCACGCTCAGTGTGGTACTTGACAACAGGGCTCGCTCTCACAGCGAGGTCATGACCTGAGATCATGACCTGAGTCAAAAGTCAGTCGCTCGACCAACTGGGCCACCCAAGCACCTCTTATTTTTAGATAGTTTTAAAAACACTTCAGATACTAGATTTTTGGTCAATTATATGTGGTGTAAATATTTTATTCCAGCATATGACCTGTCTCTTCACATTCTATACCATATCCACATTCTTGTTTCTAATTTATCAACGCATTATTTTCTTAATGATTTACACTTCTCATGACTTATGTAAGAAATCCCTCCGTACCCTGGGGTCATTAGAATGTTCTTACATATTTTCTGCTGAAAGTGTGTTTTCTTTCTTCTTTCTGTCATACATTGTTGTCTTAATTACTATGACTTTATAATTAAAAGTTTTGTTGTCTAATGAGACAAGAATCCTTACATAGTTCAGAAGTGATAGGCTACTCTTGACCCTTTTGCGTTTTCATTTACATTTTAGAATCAGTTTATTAAATGAAGATTTATTTTTAATTGAAATCGCATTAAGTCTATTACTCGATTTGATGAAATTGCTTTAAGTCTACTGCTCATTTTAGGGTGTTAAGTATACCTATTCATGCACGTGGTTTGTCCCTCCATTTATTTAGGACTTCTTTAATATCCTCTGATAAAGTTTTAGAATATTCTACACAAAGACCTTATACGTTGTTAGATTTATTCTTAGGTACTCTACACCTCTGTTGCTATTGGAAATAATGTGTGTGTGTGTATATACGTATATATATGTGTGTGTGTATATATATATATATATATATATATATGTAATTTTTAATGTTTATTTATTTCTGAGAGACAGAGCACGAGCGGGGGAGAGGCAGAGAGAGAGGGAGACACAGAATCCGAAGAGGCTCCAGGCTCTGAGCTGTCAGTAAACAGCTAAACAAGGGGCTCAAACCGTGAGATCATGACCTGAGCCGAAGTTGGTTGCTTAACCCACTGAGCCACTCAGGCACCCCTGGAAATACATTTTTAATTGCACTTTCTTTTGATGATGTTACAAAGAAATGTAACTAAATTTCTGAGTTTATCTTATATTCAACATTCTTGCTAAATCTTATTAATTTTAATAATCAATCTGTAAAATCTAAGACATTTTCTTTATAGACAATAACATTATTTGAAATAATAAAAAAAATTTGTTTTCACGATTCCATTCTTTACTCCTTCTAAATCTTTATTTTATCACACAAGCAATGAACTCCATGATAATGTTGAGAGTGAGTAGTAATTCCAGACATTCTTGTTTTGTTTCCTATTTTAAATGGAATGCTTTTAACATTTCAGGTTTTATCAGTCCTTTTCTCTCAGGTTAAAAAAGGTCTACCCCCCCAAAAAAATTTTTTTTTAATTAAACAAAAAGGGGGGACTTAGTCAGTTAAGTATCTGACTTCAGTTTAGGTCATGATCTCACGGTTCATGAGTTCAAGCCCCACGTCAGGCTCTGTGCTGATGGCTCGGAGCCTGGAGCCTGCTTCAAATTCTGTGTCTTCCTCTCTCTCTGCCCCTCCCCACTCATA